TTTATTCCCTCATTCAATGAACTTTTACTTACTATGTGTCACATACCACATTGACTCAAGGAGGTTCTTAATCTAATGAATTTGACAAACAAGATAATGTATTCAACACAGAAAATACAACAAGATGTGTCCACAGCATGCCTTTTGAGCATCAAGGACAGGAACATGATCCCTGCAGGATAATAGAACATGATCACACACCGTTGAAGATTATTGTAATTTCGCAGATTAGAATGAAGAGCCTACAGGAGTGCTGGAATGGCTGGATGGTCCTGAGTAGGGAGGCTGGCACCTAATTTACCATAGATTTTCCACTAGGTTAAGGACTTCCATGTTTCTCTTGAGGATTACTGAAAACCTATAATAGGTTTTAAAGTAGAGGGTTATGATGATAAGTTTACATTTTAAAAATGTGTCCCTGGCAGCAGTGGAGAAGATGAACTATAGGAATGGGGAATTAGGGAAAGAGACAGTAATTGATAACAGCGGGTTAGCAGTTCAGCTTCTGGAGAACCAGGGCTAGAACCATGTCAGGTATATGGGTGGGGAAATTATGAGAAAAAAATAAGGAAATAGAGCTAAGTGGATTTATTGATTGATTTGATGTGGGCCTAAACCCTGGCATCTGAATTGGATAATGGATTTTTGTTGTTGTTGTTTGTTTTGTTTTACTAATAATGTCATTCATGAAGTTTAGGAACACAGGACAAAGGACAGGTTTCAGTGGTACCTGAGCTTGAGTTTTGAGTTCAAAATACTTGGCAGATTTCCAGGTTAAGATACTCTATGGACAGTTTGATATAGGTCTTCAACTCATAAAGAGGAAGAGACAGAGAGAGAAGTGATAGGTAAGTTGTGGATGAGTTTCCTTACTGTCATTCAGTGTGAATCCTTTTGTTACTTGGCTATAGTTGTTATTTTCTATGTTCAGGTTTTTATTTTATATCCCAGTTAATTCATCTTTATGATAAAAAAGTGGTATAGCAATGCCTGTAACTAGAAGACTAGAGATCTATAAATGGCAGGTAAGAGATAGTGTTAGAATTGTTTTACATTCCCATTTTAAAGAATGTATGGTAATTTGCACATGATAGGACTGATGTTTCATCTCCTGGAGTTATGGACAAGTCATCAGTCAAGTCAAACCTATTTCCAGAGTATGACTATTACACTGGCCTGACTCTTGCTACCGTTAGTATGAACTTGACTGGTGGTCCTCTGAAAGCCCTACCACCTGATCAGTCCACCCAGACTTACCTGAGTGCTCTGCTTATTGTTGATCTTCAGCCCTGATTCACTCGATTCTGAGGTTGGCGTTATCAGAACAGATGAACTAGTGTCTCATTATATATTCATCTTGAGTCCTCAACATATAATGAATGCCCGGACTACGTTAACAATATCTTATCAAAAATGAATTACCTAGATGAGTTATTTATATTCAGAATGGTTTTGACATGCTTAGCTAGCATTTGTTTCTTGTTCAGCCACTGGTGTTCATGAAAAGAAATTGATTTATCTATCGAGTTTCAGTTACTTTAACTGAGAAATTTTTTCCTCAGACTTCCCAGTTTCTCTCCTATAGGGGTACAATCAAGCATGCCTAGTCATATCCTTGAACCAAAGGAAATCTGGGAGAGCAACAGAATTGAAAAAGTTAATAAATAGATGGAATGATGGGATGAAGAGAAAAGAGAAGATGCACATCACACAAAGGGTGTCACCAATGAAATTACAAAGATAAATGTCAAAGGAAAAAGGGTGCAAAGAATAAGAACAAGAGGTAAGAGGCAGGCAAGTAGGATGGCAGAAGATGACAAAAAGAAAAGGGAAAACTCTGCATATTTTAAAGTCAGACACTTGGTCTGATTGTAAAAAGCAGAAGCAACAATCCTGCTCTGACAGATTAAAAACAAACTGGGTCAGCATTCCCCAGTAGATATTCCCATCTATTTTATTTTCAAAGATAACTTCATACATTTGCTTGGGGAAAAATCATCCATTCCAATTCTAGTTCCCATTTCTGGACAGTGTTATCTTGGAGCCTTTGAAATGAAACTACTCCCCTTACTATTTTTATTTCCTATTTGTGAACCACAAAATGGTATATTAACTCTTTCACAAGCATTTTTGTTTAGGAAACATTTAAATCAATGATTATTATGGTAACTAATCAATAAAGCAAATGACCTAGATTTTCTTTCTTATTTCTCTACTTAAAATATAATTAAATGTAGATTATTTTGATATGGAAATATGCATTTATGCTCAGTATTATTTAGGGTAACCCAATTCTTTTGGTGGACATAAGAAGTCAGCATTTCCTCAGTCCAACATCACCTAAATGTTGCTCTCCATTTGGAAGGACTCATTTGGATTCTTGGTGCCAGGATTCGTCGCTAGGCTGCTATAATCCTTTGTCATTTGCACATGGTGAGGTGAACCCTCTCTACCAATCACGTAGACTTTGTCTTACTAAGTGGCATGGACTGGGGCAGGTACACATGGGAAAACTCTCTTGGGGAAAGTGTGGTGTTTTCCAGTTTTCTATTAAATAACTATATTCCTCAGTACATCTGGAAGCCTTTGAGTGAACAGATATCTAGAGATCATTGAAAACAAAGCAGAGTCTGGAAGGGTGTTGTGAAGACTTTCTCACTGTTCCTGGGTGATTTAGAAATGGAATGACCACTAGGAAGATTTGCAGGAGGAAAAGCCATTTATTTATGCTCCTTCCCACTTCCAGATTCTCAGTTAAGAGCATATCTAGATACAGGCTGTGCTGATGTCTTTCTTCCCAAGATGGTACATAATGGATTGTGACCTATTAATTAAACAGATTTCTTAATCTGTACTAAAATTCTTACATCTGTGTATTTCCTGCAACAATGGAAAATAAATAGAATAAATGTGAGAATTTTAACAGATAGAAGTATTATGAGACCTTACTGATTGCTTGCCTCTCTTTGTCTACCAGCAGTGTTGCAGTCCTGGAAGAACACTATGTGCTCTGCATAGTTTTCAGTTATTCTGTCTCCGAACACAACATTATTTTAACATAAGTATCCACGGTTTATTGTCTAGAAAGCCAGCTGTTCAGGAAATTTAGAAAGCTCTGAATAGAAGCAACATTAGAACAAACAGAAAAGCAAATGGACCTGCTATACTTATTCTGTAAGAGGGCATCGTAGTTTGAGTATTGATAGAACTCTAAAGATACTTTGCAGGGCCTCCGAGGCTCAGAGATGTCTATGGGTAGAAGAAACAGTGTAACTCCGAAACCTACTGTAACTATGTATACATCCCCTAAACAGTAAAGCCAACTAAAAACAAGTTCGTTTTGCTTAAGTATTTAACAAAAAATTTATTGCAAGAGATATTTATCACTGAATTTACAGTTTCAAGGAACATGGTACAAAACATAGTGCCATCAGCTTTGTCTAAACATTAAATAGGTGCAAATACACAAAGAGTTAAAAAAAAACAAAAACCAAAGAGCATACTTTACAACATAAATTACAGTGCTATAAATATATTTTATGTACATTATACATACTCTTAAGACATCAATTTCGTATACAGCATATATTGTATTGATTTTGAAACTATTCAGTGCCTTAGTCATATTATATATCAGAAACTAAGAATTTATTTGCATCATTCGACTTACAGTAAATGATTTCATATCAAGGAGGCCACATCCTGGCTGGTTTTTCCCCACCGTTCAAATAGGCAATGATCCACTTAGATGGGCATTTACACGCACGGCAACGGTTTTCCTCGCGGCTCCCCCCTTTCCCTTTTAGGTGGTGACTAGAAGAGGGGCTGCAGCGGGATGACCGCGGGGTGTGGGGACAGCAGCGAAGGAAGGAGCGCGTGGGGCAGGGGTGGGAAGGCCAG